CGGAAATCGCAATAAAAATTATAATTTTTTAAAAATATTTAAAAATATACCGCCAGATTGAAGTCACCCTACTTCAAACCCTTGTCCTCCTGCGATGTCTATGAGAATGTCCCGGGAAATCCGACTCCAGCTGTGTTCAAGGTCATCCAGCTGTGTAAACAATAACTCATCGGTGTTAAATTTCGCAGAAAGGACAGACAAAAAAACTTAGACTTTGAAGCTTTTTCTTCAAAATTAACGCATTTCTTTCGTTTTTTTTCAGTTTTAAGTATTTTTTATGCATAATTAAAAATTCTAAAAAAATGGGCGGCTCAAAGGGGGTTAATTTAGATATAAATGAATATTGAATGGAGGTCTTGGTAGCATAACTGGCAATATAACTACAGAGTAAGTGGGAGTAACAGATTCACAGCAGGCAAATTCTTTTCTTCCAGAGTATTCTATATTAAATTTATGATATGGCAGCAAACCAAATTACTTTGTTTTTGATTATTCAATAGGATTAAAACAGTCCTATAAAAATCCAACAATCATTTGGTGAAAAATTTTTCTTCTATTTTTCATACCTCCATACATAAAACTAACTCAAACTGATCATTTTTTCATCTATTCAAATTCAAGATTTAGAGGTTTAACTGTATATCAAGATATGTTAAATAAAAAATAAATCCTTTCATTTTTTATTCTTATTTAAATAACAATTAAAATTCATTATAAAATAGTTTAAGAACAATTTTTAAAACTAGTTTTATTGTGTTTTTCAGAACTAGAGAAAAACTAAAAAAATTCATTACAGTAATACCTTGACTTGTGCTACCCCGACTTACGCGAACCCGGAGTTACTCGTCGATTCGTTTTCTGTTTGAGCACCATACAACTTTTGATTACTCACTCCCCCCACACTATTGTTCAGCTTACATGTTCAGACGTGTCGCGCGAAATCGACACATAGCTACAATTTATTTTTTGTTATTTATTTCTGTGTTATATCTACAGAGACTCGAGAGACTCTATGTGGTGATTTCTTGTAACCGTGAATGAATCAAAAGACAAGATGAGATTAACGAGAACATTTATTAGCTTACATACATCCTACTTGAATTTTACATAAATTGCGAAATTATACCCCGACTTACGCAAATTCGACTTACACGGTTATTGCTCAGTCCCACCTATCGCGTAAGTTCAGGGTATTACTGTACTTCCTAACAATTTAAATCCCCCCTTAATTTTTGAGTGATAAGATTTAAAATATAATTTTACAAAAACTATCTACTCAGTCCATTTTTGTTTATTATAATAAAATCTCAAAATATATACTTATACAGTACACAACAAAATGTCATCATTATTAATACATGATAGCTTACCTTTCGATCATCCTGTTCACATTCTCTTGAGATATGGCCTTGCTTTTTACAAACATAACAAGTTTTTTCTTGTTCCCTACAATCTCTAGCAATGTGTCCAGTTTTTCCACAATTATAGCAAGACACTAAAACATTTATATAAATATGATTTTTAACAAGCTGAAAATAATGTTAGAAAATTTCAAAGAAAACTTTTTAGCAATTATAAATTATCATTCTTTTGCATCCATTTGGTACAACACGACTATATACGTGATGATTACACCTGCAATTGTCAGAAGGAAACTCCTTTGTACATTAAACATTTTCCATCCTGTGAAAATTGGAGGTTGAAAAATGCATTTTAAGTAAAACGAAAAGAGATATTCTTGTACACTTTTACTCTCAACTTTTATGCATTTCTTGTACACAATATCAGAAAGTTGATTTACCGTTTCAACGACATTAGTAGCTTTAAAGAATATTTCAAAAAAGAAATATAACGGGAAAATTAACCAAAGAAATAAATAGATAAAATGTATAACGTCATTAATTTCTCCATTCAAAAACGTGTTGATATAAAAGGTAATTTTTAAGACTGTAGTTAACGTCCACATGAAAATCATTGACGAATAAACTGTTTCAATAGAATTACAAATATCGCATAGATCTGTATATCTTGTAATTAATTCAATTATCTCGTTCTTATCCTCTTTCACATTTAATATTTGTAAATGTAGTTTCTTTAATTTAAACGCAATTTGTTTGAATAAATATGAGCACAGCAACATTTGGAAAAGGGGAAATGTTGCAGCGCAAATAAAACGCCCGAATTCAGTTAATATCTTGAATACATACATGTTAATTTGAATATTGCATGCATTAACACTTTCAAAATCTAAATACATAAACGTGCTGATAATAAACGATGCAATACCATTTATCCATATAGAAATAACTTTCGCTGAAAATAAATAAGATTTCTTAGATTTACAGTTTGAAACATTTTTGCCTAACAATTGATGGCAGATATTACTGATCTTAATTTTATTGAAGAAAAAGTATAAAACTGAAAGAAATGAGATTAATATTTCGAAATAAACAACCAAAATCTTCATTGAAGTTAGAGTTGAGAATAAAAATAAAAATGGAACAACAACACAACTGTAAGTTAATAACATTAACTTTAAAATGAAGATAATTATTATAAAATACAATGTACATGTTTTGTTATCAAATCTAATTCCAAAAAAAGTAATATTTTTCAGCAGAAAATTTAAATTATTCTTCTCGTTTTGATCTTGAAATTCGTCATTTTCTTTCTCCTCTTTATTCAAAGTCCAAATATTTAATTTGTTTCCCATCTTCAGTGCTATATCGTGTCTTTCTTCTAAAATAAATATAAAAATCTGTTGTTAAAATTACTTAGAATATAACTCCTCAAAAGTGAAATCGCAACGCCACGAAGGAATGCGCTTAGCCATATGCAAATTGCAGGACTAGTAAAGGTGACAGATATGCAAATAATTGAATTTGCGTAAGCATCGGGTCATGTACCTAATTTCGGGCTATAAAAAGTAAGATTTAACTGCTATACTTTGAACACGCAAAAATAACTATTTAGCCGTTATGTTAAATGATAGTTGTAGATATTAAAACTTCATATTTTACAGAATTCTTAACAGACTGTGTTACTTAATTACGGTTAATTACATAATAAAAAATCTTCGAAGTATTTCATAGAAATAAAATTTTGATAGTTTAATTTGTTAGATTAAATGTTTAAAAATGAGTAACAAAATATTTCTCACAGTTACTGGAAGTTTAATTAAGTTTCACTACTAGATTTTTATAATGGAGGAAATGGTTTTCCCTTTATGAAATTAAAATATCAATAGTAAAATGTAATTAGTAGAGATTTATATGGCGCAGGAATGCTAGTATGGCATGGCCTTACAAGGTTTTTTCAGTGTGTGTTTATATATAACAATATACAAATTTTTACAGTTAAATTTATTTATTTTTATACAAAATTTATGGTTACGTGTATACCTCATGACTTGATAGATTAGCTACTATAATTTTTTTACTTAAAAAAATAAATTGCAAAATTGGAATGAAAATGTAACAAATTATACTAAAAATGTTTTTAAAATATAATTTTTCACATCACTTAAAATGTTGTATTTTTGTTTTTGAATATGTTCTTTACTCATTTTACTTTTTAAATGGTTTACAGATATATGAACTTCACTTTTCACTATCAGATGTACTTAAATTTTTTGATGAGAACAGGAAAAATAGTAAGAGTATCGTTGAAGTAGACAAGGTTAGCTAAAGATGCTATGACTATTANAAATGAAATTTGTTACAACGTTGCACTTAGTCGTTCATATTTGTTGTTAGTAATTTAAAAGACATTTTGAAACACACGGAACGATAATAATTTTTTAAAATATAATAACACGAAAATGAAAAGGGAACTCGGGAACATTTATCGAGAGCCACAAATAATCCTTCAAAGAGCTGCATGTGGCTCGCGAGCCGCAAATTGGCCACCCCTGGCATAAGATATCTTATTTTTAATAAGAACAAGTAAAACAGCAAGGCCATTTTTGGGATGAGACTATTGTCTTGAAGACTCAGGGCTTGACTTGAGCACTGTTTTCCAAGGAAGAGAGAAAAATGAGCACTAGCCAATGAAAAAAAGCTGACATTGGTACTTGGGGTCCTGGCGTAGATTATGGCAGGCTTCATTGCCACCATGGTTATGACGGGTTGCACTGTCATGGGCCTGTTCTTGGCTACGGTAAGCAGGAAGATATTTGTACCCGAATTGTCCTGATGTTGTTCTTGTCGTTTCACAGGATGGCAAAACGAGAGAAAGAGAATACATGCGTAACATGGGTCACACATTTGTCAAAATTCAATTTCGCAATGTTCGCATTTCAAAATTCCCAACGAGTAACACATGCGCAAATCTTGCACTAGTGCTTGTTTGTAGAAACAGTGTTGCCATTTTGTATTTTATTTTGACTCTGTTCTCAGTCCCGACTATCTTAAAGTGTGATTTTTTTATGTGCGCATGATTTGGGCACCAAATACTCTGTGCCAAATTGCCAACTCCTGACATGTACTTCATACCTCTAACATGTCCAGCCGTTCACAGCAGCGCAATTTTACAGACAAGACGTAGTCTTGATCTTGTCAAAAATAAAATGCATTAAACAATACCAAACAGTTTTATAAAAACTGCTATTTTATAACATACTGCATTTTATGGCAAGTAAGACCAACTTTTGTAAAATCCCCACAGAAAGTTGCAATCTAACATAGGCTAATAATTTCTCTAAACAGTCTTCAATAGGTTATAGCTAACTTCTACTTAGTCTGACTACTGAATAATGTTACTGTTTTGTTACATCGTATTTATCTTAAAAATGTATTTATTTAATTAAATATATTTTAAAAAAGCAGAATACCGCAAAAAAAATTTGGGACCAACCACCAAAGGCATAGTACAGCTTAAATACACTAAATACTTTTTCCTAAACATAATAATAAAATGTGGTAATTACAGCAATCTACAATGCATATCAGACACATGAGACTTTACAATCTACTTGTATTTTGTAAATCTAACATATCTAATTTGGTGAAAATACTTCATATTGAAAAACATTGAATTTAATTGCTGGGCAGATAATTGATACTATTGTTTTCTTCATTTCTGCTTTAACTTTGTTTGAATATCAGTGTATTTTCTTAAATATACAAGAACAAGTACTATTTACAAATTCATCTTCATAAATCAAAAACTTCTCCATTGATTGGAACAATCTGACATGTAACTTTCAAATTCAAAAGATGCATTGATCTCATTTGAAACAGAAATATCACCAACAATTCAAAGTCAAAAATTATAAAATTTTATTACTAGAAA